ATATATAATATGCACCATCAATAAATGACTTAACATGAACTTACCTTCAGGCGAAGCATTGTCCACAGCATCCATAGGCTCTGATTCTTGTCTGGAAAAACATAGACAGAAAATAGATGGGAGAACAAGCATAGTATAAAAATGATAATTAAATGGACAGGAATGAACTATGTGGACACTCTAGTAAGCAGAACCTGACTATCATCTACAAATCTCAAAATGAATGTCAACAAGCATAGGAATATGATTGTTGATTGCTTTATGATTTTCTATGAGAATGAAGAGAAGGTACAAGATATAACACAGAGAAATATTTTTATTCAAAATGAGGCTGTAAAGGTTACGTACAGCATTAAGATAAACATCTAGATCTTTATGTCATAAAATGGTGTGAATTCCTAATTAAATATGCTCTGACAGTTGGGCAGCAAGCAAGAGCATGTTGAGTGGTGGTTAGACAAAATGATGGAAGCACCTGAGAAACACACAAAATATATTTTAGTATGGTGTAGCAATTAGAGTATGGTGTTTTTTACAGTTAAGTATGGTGTAGGTTCACCTTTTGTGGCAATTACAGTCTCCTTTCTCTGAGGTATTGATTCATTAAAATTGTGAATGGTTTCCAAAGGAATTTTAACCCATTCTTCAGTTAAAACTCCCTCCAGCTCTATTAAAGACGATGGTGGCAGGAAACAACTTCTGACTTGCATCTCTAAAATCCACCATATATGCTCAATAATATTCAGGTCTGGTGATTGTGGTGGCCAAATGAGATGCTCTACTTTATTACAATGTTATTTGTGTCATTTTAACAATTATTCCAGCTATATGGAACAGAGCATTATCATATTGAAAAATGGCATTCACCATTGGAAACAGTGCCTAAACCATTGGATGAACTTGGTGCACCAAAATTCCTAAATAATTGCGGTTATTGATTTTTCCTAGAAGTGAAATCATTGGTCCGCCGGTTTCCCAAGAAATAGCACTCTAGATCATTGGGATTTGAAGGAGGGGCGCCAGCGGGATTAAATAGCAAGGGGGAGGCAATCAAAATTAAATGACTCTTTTGGCTATCTCCAAACAAAAACTCGGCCAGAGGTTGGAAATAAGATGAGCAATGATTTGTCAGAGAAAATCACATTTATCCCCACTGCATCACAACAAAACATGTGTTAACTGCAGAAAAATACAATATAAGACACCCATTTCCCAATTGAGTAAGCACCATAATACCAGTAAAAACTTTTACCTCCAATCCCAATTATTGGTATTGAATATTCATTTTTTCCCTATGAACATTAATGATCAATGTTGAACTCAAACTTCTGGAATGTTTACATTTATGAATAGCTGGTCTGAGGCTCCATAAATATTTGGTATAAATTCTGATCCTCAACATCTGTGTTACATTGGCATTCTTTGCACTGCCCTCAGTATACGTAAATTCACTACCTACATTACTAACTCTTAAACTCAATGGTAATAAAGAAAATTATTTATAAGACTTAGAAGTAATTAGGACTTAGGCATTAGTTTAGACAAGAGACACTCCACAAGGTGAAGAAAGCATCTACAGTGCCACCAAAAATACGAGCAGAAAAGAGGAAAAAAAATTTTTCTGTTTATTATTGTTTCTTACCACAAATTGTTTCAAGAATTAGAAGAAGAAAAGGCGAGAATTACAATTATTTGAAAAAAAAATGATTATTAAGAGGTTAATTGAGCTTCAATAATCAGATCAAGAAGAACCATTAATTGTGGGATTCAGTAATGAAATTCAAGAGTCCCATACTGCTTTACCCACAATAATTTTTATTCATTTAACCAAAGTATTTTTTTAAAACAAATGCTCAGGCTTTTGGTTGTTTACTTAAAATAATTTAATTTATATTTTTAACATAAATCTGATGAAGCCAACATTATTGAACATTTATAAAATGTTGTGAAGTGCCTCATTGCAGGTAAATGACATTCATTTATCCCATATTCACAACAGACCTTGTATGCCATTGAGAACGGACGTTGAAGTAAACAGCCGCAGGTCTGTTGAGCAGCACCACCGTCTGTCCTTCCTCACACATGAAATCAACATCATCTCCAGGTTCTGTCAAAGTCACTACAGAAACAGGGAAAGATATCAGGATAGTATTCAACAAATTGAATGATAATATCTATATATATATATAGAGTTAATGAGTTTGCATGGCATTTGTAGGAATAAGATAAATTGGTATAATAAAGAATTAGAATACTTCAAAAAACTGTTACTGAAAGCTTCTCACCATTTTTGTGTTGTTGATCAACCCACTCCAGGAGCCCAGAGAGGTTGTGGGAAGCCCATTGTCCTCCATAAGAACAATTACTGCAATCAATTGAAAAAATATCAATTAAATTTGAATTGTAACAATTAATATGATAAATAATAAGTGTGGATTGTATAGCTTCAGAGCATTTATTCTATTATGTAAGATGGTATCAACTTACTGATCTAGATGCAGCACAGTTTTGCCAACACGGGCTGCAGCCCCGGCAATGAGGCACTCGACAAGGCCTGAAAACAAAGTAAATTCATAAAATGTGCATAAAAAGGCCTAAGCGTAATAAATTTTTGAAAATTTTCAAATATGAAAAGTTGCAAGAAAGTTGAGAATGAAAGTTAAAATTTCCACAAAATTTTAAAAATGTGAAGGTCATCAATAAATTTGTCTTAAAACATTAACAATTAAAAAACATACAAGGTGATTCACAGAAACTTCTCATTTTGTAATTTTTACCAAGCAGCCAGATGTAGGAAAAGGGTGGAGAGTTTTTCATATGAAAGACAATGTCATGAAGTTTTGAGACCTACCTATTCAGTTGCCATAATGCATTAGATAAATGAGCAGCATGCATTTGTTATCGATTCATGATTCATACTTTTATAATGGCCATTCCCTAGTCATCACTCGACGAAAATTCCGTACTTGATTCCATATTTATCCTTAAGGTCAGGTTCCTGATCAGAAATAGATTGTCACATGGATGAACACATTTAGGGCAAATCAAAGTGTGAATGTGAGAGGGTCTGGAGGTCAACAGAATGCCACAACCAATAATGTAGAGAGAGAGAGACTTTTCTGTAATCTCTACACCGTACAGCAAAGCACCTCATCTTGAGAGGAGACCTTCTTTGGCCAGTCTGATCTCCCGATTTGTCTTGTGTGATTTTGTTATTTGTTCATCTTAAATCAATTGTTTACAATGACTATCCAAGGACTCTACCTCATTTGAAGAACAACAGATGCTAAGCCATTGTCAACATCAATATGCTTCAACAAGTTGAAAGAAAACTAGTTCTTTTTTATTGAGCTTTCAAATCAGAACGTTTCTGTGAATCACCCTGTATTTTAGATATTACATACACATAGTGTCAAAGCAGATACCTACTTTTTTTGTACTTTTCCTCAAGTTTGTTTCCGAGTCTGATAAGTGGACCAGTAAAGTATCATGGATACCAGCATTATCATAAACAAGATATTGGTTTAAATCTTAAGTACATGTTAGAAAATTAAAAATAAACTGATTCTAAATAAATCTGTGGTTTGGTACCATGTACATACAAGACAAGACAGGACAGTTGTGTCAAAATCAGGCATTTTGATAATTCACAAGGCATGACAAGGGCAAAAAAAAACCTTTGACTTTATTTGATTAAAAACAGAAAATAAAAACAAATTTGAAGATTCAGTTTTAAAAAATTCTTACCTGTGCCTTGAATAATGAGATCATACTTCTCCGCCAGGTCATCATCCATGGATACTTATTTTTAAAGTTAAACTATATGAAAGGGAAAGAAAGGTTGCAGTTTGGGAGTAGCAAAAAAAAATAGTATTACCAATAATATTCCAAGATAAAAAACCAGTCCAATCTGAAATAAATATCATTTTGGTTATATGTAGATATTTTTCTCTAAAAATTTCTTAGGGCTTTCTGCTGACTCTGACTAATAAAAAAATTTGATGGTTTTGCAAGAAATTTTGATTGTGAACAGAGGTGGAGACATAATCAGTAGGTATGGGTGCAAACTACGTTCAAACATGAACAATGCTGTCAAATGGTGGACAGCCACTTTCTGCCTTGGTGTGCATAAGATATTTAATTTTAAAAGTCCTGCCCAAACGTTAGCCTAATTTGATTGACTTGTGTTTGATAAGAACTTAAAAGACTTGAACTATGATGACAAAATCTTGTTTTTTGAGAAATTTCTATCAATTACTTGCTTAGCTGAGACGCACAAATGGTACCATCAAACAGGGTAAAAAGGGACAGTTTTGGGCGTTTTTGTTAATAACTTCTTACCATGAAACATTTCATAAACAAGTTTGGTCTTATTTTAAAGGTCTTTGCAAGGGCTATCGTATGGCATCTCCAAAAAAATTTCATATGCTATTTGTAAGGTGCTAGATGCAATATAAAAGGCTCCTGAATTAATCTGGAAATGGGGTAAAAAGGGACACTTGAAATAAAACTCAATTTTAAACATTTGAAGCATGCTGAGTGCACTCATCTATTACTAGCAGTACTCTGAAGTCCTCCTCTTCCTTTGTAGATGATGTAGTTGTAGAATAAATGAAATTTTCTGTGATTTTAACTTGGTTTTTCTTCATTGGTATAATATTACTGTTGTGGGAAGCCCATTTCAGTGATACTGCAAGGAAGTAAGATTTCCCTACTAGGGGTCCTGCACACCCCCCTCTCCTGAGATGCAATGTAATGTGAAATTAAAGTATGAAATTAAAGCAAAAGTATGTATCAATTTCAGTGTTGACATCATAGTAGAGTGCTCACTATTTGCTATGCATCATTAACTTAATCATGTTAAAGTTGATGTAAAGGATATTTTTATGGATTTAGTGCACTCCTTAGGTTTATCATGTTAATCTGTTTTTATGTTTCAGACTGGGTAAAGCAGGCAAACTTGAAAATACCATTATACAAGGTTATAGACCCCCGTGCCTCGGTTTTGCACTTATTCTTTTTCTTCTCTGTTCAATGTACATACCTGGTTATTCTTGTTGTGTTGTTCAATAAATTGTTAAATAAACACAAGGAAAAGTCTAATAAAAAGGTGGTTTGGGATGGTTGTAGGGGAGGTGGTGACCATCACCAATTCCTTGTTTGCTTGACACCCGTGCAACAAACACCCTCAGGCCCAAAACATGGCTGGTAGCACGATAAATAGAGTCCTACTACATTACCTTATCCATACATTACCATATTATTAATGTGATATTACTGTATCCATGGACATGCCATTGAGCATTGACAACGACCTTGTCCACTGCAAGCTTCATATCAGCAGTGATGTAGCATTTCTTCTGCATCTGTAAGCTTACAGGATGGCTTGGAATTTTGCACAATTTTAGTGGAGTCAAGTGATTTCACTATAACAAAAAAGATTGTAAAAAACATAAATGAAACAGGAAGAAATATTTTAGTGGCAACCATTATATTTCTTTGATAAATAAATCATAGTTTAGGTTAATTACTTTTCATTCTTTGTTGCCCAGTGCTCAATTCTATCTGTGACATTCTATGCACAATTTTGTGATAACTGATGCAGTAATTTTTTTATTAAATGAAATTTTTTCACTGAGCAAGGTAAATGTAATCAAAATTCTTTGTTTTTAATTTATTTTTTCATTAACTGGAGCCTTTGCTAACCAAGGTTCTACTGTAAATGCAATTTTAGGGTTGCCCCTTATTACCCCAGGAGGGTGTCCCTTATTACCCTGCTTTGCAGAAATGGCCACCATTTCTTCTCAGAATGAGATATGCAAATTCTGTCAATCACGTTTTTAAGCCAACACTAGTGCGCAACTTTTATATAAGTAAAATTTTTCAATACCACAAATATTTTTTCTGCTACAGACCTTAGCAGAGGTACTTTTCCAAAATGTCACTTTTCACACTTTTTTTCAGGAATTTTGTAGAGGTAATAACTGTATGATTTCTCAACTTGCTTTATGCTGAATAGATAGTAAAAATGTTCAACTTTATACCACTATTTTCAGTTTTGCAATATTTTAATTAGTTCAGCTGCTACAACAAAATGTTGGAGGACTGTCCCTTATTACCCTGCCTGTCCGTTTTTACCCCATTTGACGGTAACACTTTATGCTAAAAATAAACCTTGATATCATATTTTCAAATTAATGAAAGATAATCTCAGATCAAGTATAAAGTTCTTTGAGCATGCTCTCAAAATTTCAGAGCTCTGTAGATATTTCGACAGTGATTCTACCATTCCAGAAATGCATGGTAGTACTGCAGTTCACATTCAGTTCAGTTGTGAGCCAGTGAGGTACACTGATACTGGTAGTGTTTTGGTTCACATTTAAAAGTTTATTGCATTTGCATCTAATTGACTAAACACGATGATTATATTGTGAGAAAGACATTTTAACATGAAATTTTTTACTTGCACCAAGCCCCCTGATCTACTTGCTAGTGAAATTTATCAAGTGCTAGTCTCTAGTAAGCCTAGGGGTAGTACCTACGTATTTAGTACATATTTAGTACGTAGTAAGTATTTACGGATCATTTTCCCATAATTTTCTCATAATTTCACCATCATTTCCCTACCACTTGCCCATAATTTCCCTACCATTTTCCTGTAATTTCCCTATCATTTAATGAATGCATCATTTAACCCACCTGCATCATTTATTCATTATTCATTCATCATTTCATCATCATTCATATATCATTTATTTATCATGTGATTTTTTATGTCACCAATTTTTCATTCATTTTTTATTTATCTATAATATATTTATTAAACTGGAATTTTTTATTCAATTTTACCTTTTGCTGAATTTATACTATTCATATCAATCAGTCACTCACACTCGTTTCCCCACCCACCTCCACCTCCTGTAGTCAAAGTCTCATTCAAAAGGTTTTGTTTTAGTTAGAATAGATAGCCTACATTCCCTACAACAAGAGATTTCTAATGGTACTAAAATCTTTGAAATTGGCTCATAGGAAAACTAGAAATGATAGTTTTTCCAGAAAAAAGTGGCAAAAATCAGTCCATTTTCATTTTGGAGAGATAAAGAGAAAAATTCATGTCTTTTTCACTTTTATTATTATTCCACTTACCATTAACCGGGGCTACTCAGGACGATTTCAAACGTTTTTCATTCATAACTTCTAACCATGAAACATTTCATAAACAAGTTTAGGCGCATTTCAAAGCTCTTTGCAAGGGCTATCGCATGGCTTCTCCAAAAAAAATTCTATATGCTATTTGTAAGGTGCCAGAAGCAAAAAAAGTGTCCTGAGTAGCCCCGTCGAACGGGGCTACTCGGGACACTTGGAATAAAACTTCATTTTGAAACATTTGAAGCATGCAGAGTGTACTCATCCATTTCTAACAGTACTCTGAAGTCCTCCTTTTTCATTGTAGATGATGTAGAGGTAGAATGAATGACATTTTCTGTGATTTTTACTTGTTTTTCCTTTATTGATATGATATTACCATATACATTAATTACCGTATTGTTGATGCAATATTACCGTATCCATGAATGCATCATTTGACAATGAGCATTGACAATGACCTTGTCCACTGCCAGCTTCATATCAGCAGCCTTATAGCATTTTTTCTGTAGCTGTAAGCTTACAGGACAGCTGTAATTGCACACATTTTAATTGGGTTAAGTGAATTTACTATAAAAAAAGATAGTGAAAAACATACCTGAAACAGAGAGGAATGTTTTAGTGACAACCATCATATGTTTTGGAGAAATAAATCATAGTTTGTCAATTACTTTTCATTCTATGATGCCTGGTGCACAATTCTATATATGACATTCTATGCACAATTTTGTGATGACCAATGATGCACTAATTTTTTGATAAGTGAAATTTTTTTTGCTGAGCGAGGTAAATGTAATCAATATTCTTTGTTTTTAATCAATTTTTTTCTTAAGTGGAGCCTTTGTTGAGGTTCTACTGTAAATGCGTTTTTGGAGGTGTCCTGAATAGCCCCAGGGGGTGTCCCGAGTAGCCCCGCCGTGCGGAAATGGCGGCCATTTTTTTTTGGATTGAGGTATGTAAATTCCGCAAAGAAAGTTTTCATGCTGACACTTGTCTGCCACCTTTCTGAGCAAAATTTTTCAATATGGCAAATATTTTTTTTACTACAGACCCTAGCAGAAGTAACTTTTCAAATTATCGTTTTCACCATTTTTCCAGGAATTTTTCAAAGCTAGTAAATGAAGTATTTTTGAACTATACTATATTTAGTTTTGCAATATTTCAATTAGTTTTGCAACTAAAACAGTTTTACGCCATGTCGGACTGTTGGAGGACTGTCCCGAGTTACCCCGCTCGTCCCGAGTAGCCCTGGTTGATGGTATATTTATAAGGTAATTTTCTAAAAAAAATTCTCTTTTCAGCTGTATAATTTTCATTAGGATCATAAGAAAATTTTTTTTGTGAACAACCTACATCATCATAATGTAGTCAGAACTCAGAAGTATGGTAACACCTAAAACTTGGACTTCCAACATTCACATATAAAAATTTGAATAGGCCTAACTACACCAGCAATGGCCAATGGGCTTCACTCAAAATTTAAATAAAAAAAGCCACCAACCTACAAAGAGTGACAGGCCATTGAGTCCATTCTATGTTCTTTACATATCACTCAACACTTTGACGCTTGCCTCAGTTTTCTGGTTTGGTCCAATTAGCACAGACGTCTATAGACGTAGTAACTATACCTAGCACAATAACCCCTGGACTAGAGGAGACGTCAATGCAGTGTGATTCTACATGGGGTTGCGGGATAGATGCACCATTTGTTCCAATTTTGAGCAGGTGTACGAGTATTATGGACTTCCTCTGTTTCAATATTAC